TGCGGCAGAAGACGGTCTCGTAGATATCCGGGTCCTAGGCCATGTAGGGCTTTAAAGGTGATAATCAGCACCTTGAATCGTGCTCAGAGGTTCCTTCCTCACCTTACTTTTCTCCCCTCCTTCATTTGGCTTCTATCAGTCAACGCAGATGCGGAAAAGCTCCACACGCAGCAGCCTCTCCCATTTTGGGCGGCTGGACCAGTACGAGATCCGCAGCCTGCTCGTCTGCTACCTTTACATCGTCAAGATGCTGTCTGAAGGTCAGCCGTCTCCGATCCCGTTTCCTGGGCTGGGGCAGCTCGAGGGATGACGGGAGACGTCTTAAGCCATTCTCTGTTGATTGCAGATACCTTGTTATCCTACTGGAACAAAATATCTCCCCAGGAGCTGATGAATGTCTTGGTTCTGCTAGAGTAAGTTTGCTTGAATTTCTTTAAGAGATTGAGGGGAGGAAGAAGGATCGTGTGTTGGAACATCTAGGAAGAAGAAGTCTAGATGGCCACATTTAGTGCGCCAAATATGTCCACTAAGCATTCGCCAGTTTGTGGGGTGGCCACAGCTCAAGGAAAGAGGCAATATCAGACCAGTGTTTCTCAATCTTGGCCAAGATGGTTGTGTTGTGGCCCGCCGGCAGCCAGCAGAGCTGGAAGGAGAGTCGGACAGTGAGGAGGCTGGGGAGGAACATGGGACAGTCCTGGGGGCTGAGGAAAGCTCACATGAAGGCTCTGCGTCGGAGGCAGAGAGGGAGCTAGGCAGCAGTGAAGCAGAGGAACAGCTGGAGCCTGTTCCCAGTGTGCACATGTGCAGAGCTGCCAGAAAGAAGCAGGGTCAACTTGGGAATAAAGCCACACCTCAGAAGTGATTGACCCCTCCCAGAGTAAACAAAAGAGGAGCAAACGGGGAGGGGACTTTTGCAGGGAACAATTCATTCCTTCGGTCGTGTCAAGAGTGGAAAGTTCTGTTTGTGACTATAAGAGACTCTGTGCCAAGTGTTTTCCTTGCCCTGTATTTGGAAACAAGTTATCTGGCACGTCTCCGAGCGAGATAAGGTTCGCGTGGATAAATATTCCTCTGAAAGACTGTTTGCCGAGCCTTGCTGACTGTGAATGGAAGGAATAAAAGAGGTTTTGCCAGGACCAAGAGTCTGCTTCATGCTTGTTAAGGAAGCCTGGGTCAGAACAGGTTGGACCTCAACTCCCAGAACTTCCCAGCCAGTCACGGGGGAATTCTGGGAATTGAATCCACCCATCTTCAAGTTGCCGAGGTTGAGAAACCCTGATCTAGGATGTTTTAGTAATCTTGCTTGTTTGACTTTCTCTCTCTCGCGCGCCGCAGAGTCTGTCTCTTCCACTTCCGATATGTGGGGAAAAGGAACATTGCCAGGTACTGTGGGAAATGCGTGCGTGGGGATTTGTGGTGGTGGGTTTTTTTTTTCATTTCATTTCAATTTATTTGTATGCCGCCCTTTTCCCTGAAAGGGACTCAGGGCGGCTCACAACTCAAAGGGAGGGGAAAAA